AATATTCCAAAAATAATTTATGATCATGCTCACCTTGTTGACGAAGCTCTTTTGCCGCGACCAGACTTCCTACACCGAGAGCTATGCTAAGGTCGCACGGTTCATGCGCAAGGCACAGTATCCGGAAACTTTCCTTCGCATGATGGCGTGCCAGGCTGAGCACAGCCATGGCCAAACCATGCTCGAAGTCATGAACCCCACAAGTCCTGAAGCCAAGAGTCTCGGAAACCGTGAACCCTATCAGCAGCAATAGCCGTGAGCAGCACACCCGAGGCCGTGGCTGATCTGTGAAGTTGAGCAAGATCTCAGCTCAGCGAGGACTGCGAGGAATCACCATCACTAGACCGAGGCATTCTCGGCGACCCTCGTGCGAGGATGTCCGGGCAAGAACATGCCGACTGCAAGCACATCTCTTTACCATCATGGCACACAAAAGTCTTCTTGTGGACTGCCAGCAAGTTTCCCGCGGCTGTGGCGAATCGTTGTCGATGACCTTACGGTTACAGTGTCAATGAGTCTTTAGAGAATTTAGAAATGACTTCTGCACAACGAATGACTTCTCTGACTCAGAACTCTTGATTCAACCCTGGTGTGTGACTCGTCTACGCAGGTGCAGCAAGTCTTGTGCAACTCTACCAGTGAGAGGCCCCGACGATGAAGTGATCAACCTTCACTTCCGTCGCAGCATCACTGCTCCCATCATCTGTGGGCCGCTGCCCCAGTTTCAGGGACTTGAGCATCCTGGGATCTGCAAGTTGAAACCCGAGTGGATGCTGTCATGATTTGAAGCTCGTTGCGGCTGCAACCCTCCCGTTTTACTGCCGAGGGTGTATCGGATGTCGAGATATGCTTGGGCGCCAGGGGTCTCGGCTTTACATACGAGGAGAGCAAAGAATTTGACATGAAGAGAGTTCGAAGTTTTGGCCCTGGAGGGACCATCATGTCTGGTCCATGGGAGGCTCTCCAATGCTAAACAGGCACCGGGAGATGTTCGACTCTGCCTGCTGGGCATGGAAATGCCTGAGCTGCAGGTACACCGGCTCTGTATTCTCGGCTGTTCCTGGGCATGAGCCGCTGCCCGCTGTGCTGCTGCAAGCAAGAAGCAGGTTCACCAAGTTGGCGTCCACATTGCCACCAAGAAGTCCTTGCTCGCCCCCCCCCCCCCAGTGTGTGGGTAGCAGGTAGCAGAGTGCTTAAGGTAATGGCGAAAATGCGGAGCCATCCCAGACCCCATCCCGAAACTTGTTTCTGGCATGGGCATTCATAGAGAGACTCACAGAGAATTCTATTTAGAACTAAGCCGAGAATCTTTTGTCTTCACGTTCCTGGCGATGACGGTTTTGCTGTCGGGCATGTCGTGCTTCCTTCGCAGCAGTTCTAGTATTCACCCTCCAGGATCTCGGCTGCAGTCCAAAACCGGTGCTGCAGCATGGTGACAGCGAGGATCTCATGCTCTAGCTTTGAGTTGTTGGAGGTATGCCTTACGCCCAGACCAATGCCAACCCACGTAGCTTTGCTCAAGAATCGGACCGGGAGACTCCTGGCTGGCATATGGCCAGAAACCCACCACTCGCAGTGGCATGTGAGCGACGGGGGTGACACCTCAGGCTTGCACGAAACCGCAAAACCCTCGAAGCCTCGCAGACGCGGCAGAGGCAAAATAGAAAACACCGAATCTCTGCTGCAGATGCGGCGGCTTGAGTGTGCCAACTCCAGGATCTGCATCGTTCGGTCGATAGCGGCCCCTGCCATCACCGAAGAGTAGTACCTTATGCGGTGTATGCGCTTGGCATCTTCAACCAGAAGAGCACTTTAGGTGCCTAATTGGCTGCGCACGGTCAGCCTGGCTTGGTCTGCTGAGTGCGGACGATCACAGCATGTCCCTGACCACTGCCACCTTTCAATCGAGTGTGGGTCGGGATACACGGCGAGCTCGGGCGCGTCGACAATTGTGACCTGCCAATGTCACAAGTTTGCCAGGAGATCAGTGAAGCTGGGCATGGAGTACTATATAGCCACTAGACATCGCGAGACCTCAAGCAAACCCTCAAGCTTCGGGAAGCTTGCGACCTGGCCCGCGCGGGCCTTGATGACGTCCCATGCCAAGGAATCTCTGACCGGCCCTAAGCTCCAGCTGAGCCCACAGTGCAAGCGCTCAGCTCACAGGGCTCTCACGGAATGACAAAACTCTCCACGGTCGGATGCGGCCGAGAGATGGAACCGCTGGTAAACCACTAGTGAACTCGTGAAGTGACGCCGTTACGCGACAGGGCAATGTGAAGGCAAAAGTTTTCGAAGTCAGGGTTCCGTGATGAAACATCGCATAGGTCAGCCATTGCATTGCCCATGCGATGGCGCTCTTGTACTCAGTCGACCTGCCTCTCAGGGCTTTGACCTGAGGCCGGCATCTGAGTTTTGGTTGACATAGCATGTTCGATGAACGCTACTTCTAGCGAAGTTCGAAGATGATGAAGGCCGGCTTGTTTGGGCTCTCCTGTGTTGTCGAGTCTTTGATTCCATGATGCTTCGAATCACTACAGTTGTGTAGCTTCAAGCCGTGGGGCTGTTGCTGTATTGCTTTCTCGATGCCCGACCGTCCGAGCTTTAAACCCCTTCTGACCCCATTCAGCTGTAGGAAAGTTGCCGCCCAATCAAAGTCCATGGATGCCGTATCCGTATCCTTTCGAGCCAGGCGCATCCTTTGCTTCGTTGGGCAATTTGGAGTGCTGCTTCCCCTAATGTCTCACAACATAGCCAGGCCAATGGGCTCAAGCATGCGGTGCGAAGCTTTCAGCGCGGGCTCTGTGCAATCGGCTAAGAATCTCACGCAGACTACGACATTTCCAGTCGGGGACACCTCTCCGAAAACATACCAGCTACCAGGTGCGCCTAGGCAAGAATCGTGTCTGCAAAGAAAAGCATCTCCCTGCAGGACCGCTGATTTTACTACTTCGTGAGAGTCTGAGCATGTGTCGCTGCGTGCTCCTTGGCCAAGCAGCATCTTTTTCCAAAGGGCTCCTCCGGCCTGATCTGGGAGATCTCCAACTGCTCATGGCCCAAAACTCAGGAACTCAAAGCGCCCCGGCCTGGTGTTCTTTGGGAAGGCCCACTGCTACGCTGAACTGCTCGCGGAAGCCCGGCATGCAGTCCTGGGCCAGGCATCCGAAGTCTTCATGACGGATTCCAAAGGCTTACATACGGTTTAGGGTTTAGGGTTTAAGGGTTTGAAGCTGGCTTTCGGGTCTGTTCTATCGACCCGGCGCCACTTAGGGTCGTTCCAGACCTGGCTCAGCTACCTTTTGGTCGGTAGCGATACCTCGATAGTCCAGAGCATAAAACGGTTGACTGCATTGATCCCGAAGCAAGCCCACTTGTGACGAGGATCGCAAAGATTGTCATTGTTGACCTCCTCCCTGTATTTTAGGGAGCGGGCCTTGGCTGGCCGGCCGGAGCCACTCTTATGCGGTACATCGAAACCTGCATTTCTGTCACGCACAGATACACTTACCTTATCCTTTGCTACTTTCCAGCGGCTCACGCTTTCAGAATAACGACCCGCAACCAATTTGTGCCTCTGATGTTCTGCCATGTTGCAGTATTTCTCACAGCGTGCGGCACCTGCAAAACTGCGCACATGTCACATCTTGATGTTTGTATTCCACAACATTTCACAAGCCATGATCACTGCAATTAGAGTTTCTTGCCAGCATGAAAACGCAATGTACGTTGGAGCCCATCGCGATGGCTCATCTAGAAAGTTCTTTCGGCTAGTTGCATCGCTAGCGTGGTCCGGCCAATATGTTGGCTCGGCACCCAGCCCAAACCCCTGAACCGTAGATCACGGCTTTCGATATCTGTGCACAGGCTCTAACCGCACTCGCGAACCCATCCACCACAGGCCTGTTCAGGAGGCAAACGCTGGATGGAGCTTTTGCCCGCGGCCGGTGGCCCCAGCAGCATGACTATTTCCTCATCTCCGAGGTAAGTGAGGGTGAGTCGAGGTTTGAAGCAATGGTGGCTGTCTAGGGCTTCCATGCACATGTATACCGGAAGACCGTGATAAGGAATGAGGGTGGAGCATCAACAAAAGTTGGCAGACATCAAGAAACAGTTGTCTTGTCAGCAATGATACGCATCAAGAAAAATTGAGCTGCAATCGTAGACCGCATATGAAAATTACGATAATGTCGTCGGCGGGCTATTGGGAAGCAAAGGATGCAGGATCCGGTTCTGCCAAGGGGAATTACAAAGCCCAGCGTCCTCGGATTAAGACGAGTTGAAACCTCGTCAATGGACGAGCTGTTGGCGAAGTATAGTTTGCAAAGTCTGTTTTATCAAAAACATGATCAGTGGCAGAGTCCTGTAGGGCTCAAACCATTGAGCAATTCTAATTTGCTTTTGCACGGCCCTGTTTTGGGCCAACTGGGAATGACAATTGACAGAGCCCTCTTTCGGGTCAAACCATTGAAGAATTCCATTTGCACGGTCCTGTTTTGGGTCAAGCTGCTGGGAAATTACAATTGGCAGAGTCCTGTTTGGGATCTAGCCATTGAGGAATTCCAAACTGCAAGGCCCTGTTTTGGTCACACATGCGAGGGAGCATCGCGTAGCTTTTGGCTGTTCGGGTGAAAGGGCCGGGCCTTGGAAGTCTAGCAAGGCCCTGTTATAGGTCGAGCTACAAGTATTGGGGAATTACAGGATTACAATTGGCAGAGTACGGTTTGTGGTAAAACCGAAAAATCAAAAGTACAGGACCGGATTGTTCTACTTGTTCGGCGTCAGAGCGCGCGTGCTGTATGTGGTGTGATGCGTTTGGTCCTTCACCATGCTGTGTGTGATGTACTACTAGTATGTGCTGCGTGCGGTGTGTTGTGTGTGGTGCCATGCATGTGGTGTGTTCTGTGCGGTGTGCCGTGCATGGTGTGTTTCGTGTGCTGTGCCGTCTGCGGTGCGTATGGCAAGCACACGAGGCCTCCAACCAGCCCTTCTAGAGGCCTCGGCCCTTTTCAAAGCCTCGCAAAAATAGTCATAGTAATACTAAAGCAAGCATTATTAGTTGTAGAAATGAAATGATTCATACCTACAGTAAGAATAATAATGATGCCACTACCGGCGGACAGGACCAGAGGCACCCAGGAATGATACTTATAGCTCCTCACAAGCACCCACTAAGCAAATTATGTTTGATGTCTGGCAAATTCTCTGATACTTATCAACTTTCTTGTTGACACCTACAGTATTGCAGGAATGTGATCGCATGTGGTGATAAGCAGTGCGGAGAGGGGCAGCAGTCGGGTTGCCCTAAGGATAATAATCAGCATCCCTTTCAGCAGATCAGTCCTTGTTGCCATGTTGCACCACAGTTCACAGTCCCCTCCCTTGCGACTATGGCACTCAGAAGCTGTTTATTCTAATTGTATTTGTAAAAACCAATTGGTTTGTACGGGTGCTCCAACTGCGAAACTTGATTCAAGCTTCAGACCATTATAGCCTCCTAGTGGTGCCGAATGTGCCGATGCGATGTCCTGGTAATTCGACAGGCTTGCATTGGACTCGCCCCCATTAGCAAAGCCAGCAAAGACTCTGGAGCGGGGATGTCGCCATTGCATTCTATCCGCTTCTCGTAGCAACGCTTCACGAACTCACGGAGGCCCAAATTCCTGTCATGGAGGCTTGTCGCGAAAAGTGAGGATTTGGGCAGTTTCGACTGGACACGTGCGTCCATGCTCATCGAAAGCCCACTACGACTTGCACGATCGCCAGTTAGAGTCAGACAATCATGCCATCGATCCTTTGTAGACGAGACGGAGGATCCACGTCAAACTATCAACTGTTTTCGGTTTGTGAATCTGTGTAAGCCGGATGCAACAATTGCTCGTCTGCAGTTCGAGGCTCTTAATGCTGGGGTGGACGAAGACACACCGCATCGGGTATTGCGGCTCCTCCCGGCATTTCCTGGCTTGCGGCAAGGAGTTCCGTGCACTACACTTTGCTCTGCCCCCAATGGGGCCTGCAAAAGAAACGATAATGACAAATAGCGAAGGACAGCAGACGGAGCAGCTCCAACCAGACCGAGAAGCTGAACCCATCGCAGTCGTTGGGTGGATTTGTGCTCGGACAGCACGAATGCCTTCATGGTAGAATTTGAGATGCTTGCCATGTTCTGTAGGCTTTCAGTTCTTCATCATCGAACATGGTTCCGGACCTTCGAGAGGTGGTCAACAAGACAGCCACCACGACCTGACACAGGGAATCCGGCCCACGATTTGTCAAACTTCGGGGCGGCTGGAAGCAAGAGGAATGCACACGGTGCTTTGGTTGCAGACCTGGAAACCGCGCAGACCGAATGCCCCGACCTGGTTCAAGTCCCGCGAACTCTTCCTGGCACTCCTGATGGCTTCCAACCGTCAATAATGACAGCCAACCTCTAGTCTCGTCATCATACACGCTCAGAAAAGCACACCGGCCGAACCTTCTGCACCGAACCCCAAGCTTACGCAAGCTTTCTGTGCTTCAAACTAAGTCTCCTCATGCGGCGTGAAGAGCATGCCGACATCTCGTGGCACATCGACCCCCGCAAGACCGTCTACGCCTCACCAGATTTGACTGTGACATCTCTGCTCTGGGATTTCAGATTTTCAGATCCTGTACAGACTCATGACAGTCCGAATCTCTGGGTGGTCCAAAAGCCAAGGCAATACACAAGGATCCTCAAGCTCTTGATAAACAGCATGCGTCTTTGGGTTGGCAGGGTTTTTCATGTGTCAGACATGTTGCTCAAACCCGATGCGCTCAAACATGTCCGGTCCTTGCAATGGCAGATAGCTGTCGGCATCCTCGGGCCTCATCTTTAGGTGCCGCCGGCTGGCTAACCAAAAGTTGCTTGCATGAGCCGCAGATGCTTCAATCCGACGGCAAGTCTCTCTTGGGTCGCGAACTGCCGGGCGCCGACGACGGCTGAGACCCACTCGTCGTCCTTCAGGAGCCTGCAGCCAAAAGCTCGGGAAGCATGATCAGATCACGGGTACTCCAAGCCCGGTGACTGGGTATTTTGGTTTGTCAGAGTCGGACCTGTCCCCTGTCATTTGTCTGTTCTTGGTCGCATCTGCGGGCATGAAGAAAGGTGTTCCTCCCATGCATCTCAAGGGCGGGGAGTTGCCGTTCACGAAAACAGTTTTTCATGAAGGAGCTGGCACCTGCGAGTGGTTGCAGATCCAACATCGGCAGGGCTCAGGTTCTTGATGTCGCTGCATTGAATTTAGACCATCTACCCATCTGCGGTAAGTCCCACGTTCTTGATCTTACAGCTCTGGTGTCCATTTTCCTTGTGATTTTGCATTCAGGCAAAGGCAGGCAAGGTTCTTTAGGCGAACAGGTGTGGTTTGGCGACACCAGCCCGGGAGCTGCTTCCTGGTACTCCTTCTGGGCCATCCCCCCTAGAATCTTCAGCTGCTTGCTGCAATCACACAGGTGCTCTCGGACACGAACATCCGGCCTTAGAAAGATGCGCCGACCGGCCTGCTGCCACTCCTGCTTCTTATGTGGGCCACAGCGTGCAAAGCAAGAACTATCTGCCACAAACCTTGAAACAAGAGAACTTGCAGGTCTATCTCGCAACACCACCGTGCTAGCACTGTCGAGCCATCGGTATGCAGCTGCTTCTCGCTCTTCACGCGCATCTGCAACTTAGCAGATTCATGCGGAACATTTTCGTTATCTGTATGCACAGTCCTTGCCATATGGTGCCAGCCATCCATCGTCTTTCGCAGCTGCAACCCATGCAAGGGCCTTTGCGGTGGGAAGAACTTCCCTTCTGAAACGTCTAGATCTTGGCAGCCAGTGGGCTGGCTGTGCAGCACGAGACAACATTTGGTAGTTGTTCGAGACAACACTTATCCGGGAACGGCCAGATGTGAGAACTTTCGCATTATACATACAGTATACAAAAATACATACGTACATACATATGAGCTTGAAAACAGGCCACTGTTTCCATCGTCATGGTATCTACGAGCAGCCTCCTGCATCTATTCTAAACCTGTTTTCGGACTATGGCGCCTCATGAGTTTGTGTACTTCTGTCTTTAAGTCCGAACCCCTTCTGACAGAGCTCGTGCAGTGCTGTTGTGAGAAACTGTAGCCTTCAAGATGCCCTTGAGCTTTCGCGGAGTCTTTCGCGCAATTCACGCACAAATTCCCAATCCTGAGACCACGACAACCCTTTAGGCTCCGCTTCGCAGGTCCCTTGTACTGCACGTTGCAACGTATGATCTTCCAACAGCCTTGCAGATCGAACTCCAGGCCCGTGTGACTTGAACGAGTCAAGGCAGGCACTGAGGACTAGTTCAAGTTCGATGTTCGCCATGCAGAAGGTACGACGACAGGCTCGGATTTCCAATCTGTACAGGTTAGGGCTGGCGACTCAAATGATGCAAAAGTGCAGGAACTCATTCTCCATGGGGTTTAGAGTTTAGACTCTCGCAACGCGGGCAATCTTTAACGTTCACGGCTTACAAGGTGCCATGGACACAGTTACAAAAACGACTGGTTTTAAGGCTCGGTGGGCTTTCGAGTAGTTTCGCGGCATCCTAACGGCCACCCACCTCACACGAGCTTAAAACTTCAAAGCCGGCAGCTGCAAGCAAGACATGCTTGCATCTTGTAGTGTGGTATCTTGTGTCGACACATCTTTCAGGCAAAAGTTGTTTCCTTTTGCGCCTGCTTTATCAGATCTTTTGCGGACCCTTAGAACCCTATCGCCCAGCCGGTCTTGTGTAAACCGTAGACACGGACCTTTAGAACAACCATCGGAATGCAGGCCGCTGTTGGCCTTGTTGCTCGAGTGGAACTCTCCTAGACGGTAGTCGCAAGGACTATTCCTGCCGTGCTTTGCAAAAGTTTGCAACCCTCGTGTCATTGCATCTTGCGTCGCATTTCGGAAACCAAGCTGCTGTGGCGTTGTACGAATTGCCGTCGCAGCCCAGAATAGTCAATGGATTTGTAGAGGTCACTGCTCCATAAATGTACCTTGATCGATGACGGGAACTCGCACAAACGGAAACCTCATTGATCTAGTATTGCACGCTGCAGTTCATACCTGAACATGCGAAAACGAGAACTCTGCACCACTGCCCGGATACTGTGCCGGCCCGCTCATGTTCAGGCGGGCGATCACTGCAGATCCAGTGGACAATCCAGGCTCCACGAATTTGGAATCTGCTGCAGATCGACCGTTGCAAGCGAACTTGATGCCGTTGCTCGCCTCAGCATGAGGTCAAGCACCGAATTGCGTGTTTGATAAAGCCGGATACCTGTTAGAGCAAACGGAGCAGCACTGAGTGATATCCTTTGAATCTTCTAGTGACTCTCCGCTTGGGCCATGTCTGTTGAAAGGTTCAAATTCCTGGATCCGGAACCACTGTACCTGGAAGCAGATTTGAAAAGCCATCAGGGTTGTGGCTTTTTCACGGCTTGGGCTTGGGGGCCCAAACTATGGGTAAGCTGTGGGGTTTGTGACAGTGTCTCGCGCATCGGGCAGGATTCTTTTGCCAAAGGCCAATTGCCTGCCGACGAGCCCCACACATGCAAGTATGATGTGCGCTTGGGATCGAAAAAGCTCGGATGACTAGAAGTAGTGCAGCGACTACCGAAGCCCTGCTGAGAGTGGGCCAAGAAGCCAAGAATCAGATGTCATTGCAGGTTCTTTCAAGACGTGGATTTGCTCCGTGCTGCCGAACGAAAACTGACACCTTGCCACGCTGCGCTCGCTGCGCGAGGTCGCGCAGAGCAGCAGAGCACCATCGCATTCTGAAATGCCTTGTTTGCACTCCGCAAGGCATGAGAGTAGTGAACAAGAGGGGGGTAGCATTATCCCAGAAGTGTTATGTGGACGCATTCAGCTACGAAGTAGTAGAAACGGAACAAGCCTCTTACCTCTCTGCAGCCTCTGGCATGAAAGACATCTTCGCAACTCTCAACTCAATAACCATCCAAAACCCGTATCTCGGCAGCCTGCCTGCATGGGTGCCACCTGCTCGGGCGGGAGCTGCCCCCTCACTCCCGCCCCTTCGATTCGCAGCCCCTTGAAGCAATCGTGCAGCGGAGCTTGCAGATCCGAAGCGGCAGAGACGAGGGAAGCCAGCTGCAGCTCACAGGACTACACGAACGAAATGCTTGGAGACCTCAGTGCCCTCTGGTGCACATCATAAAGCCCACGCATTTAACATGCCAGCACCCTTCCTTCATGCTGTTCTTGCCACAGTGACAGTTTCCACTGGCTTCCGGCGACTTTCCATATCAGAGCGCCGACGGGGTTCAGATTGACCAAATGAGCCCGGTATGGGCCAAGGGTTGATAAGATCCTCGCACGTCAGGATGGGTACAACGGACCACGCCAAAACACATGTTAACAATGTCACAGGCTAGGGCTGAACAAGTTCTTGAGCTAACCTCAACTCCGCGTTCTCTTCCAGTTGGCGGTGCAGCAAACACACGCTGTAAGCAGCGGTTCTATATGTATGTATGTATATGCATATATGGCCTGTGGTCACCATATATATATATATATGTATAAGATGTATATGCTGATACAGGTTTGTTTATACACATAGATTTTTGTGCTGTTACGCGAATTCAATATACACATGTGTCTATACATAGACATGTCTGCATATGCTGCAAGGCTGGGTGATCTGAACGACTTGGTGTGCCTATGCGTTCCTATCGGCCTCACCTCAGCTGTGAAGACCGAGGTCTCGCAGCCAATGCTACAACGAACGCCAACATGAAACGGACTGCAACACTTTGCTTCTCCTCGAAAGAGCAGGCACTTGCCAAGATTTCTGGCGAATTTGATTGTGCATGTAGACACGGCTCTGATGCCCTGCATTCGTGGAGTCTGTCGTTGGTCATGGCTAATGTGCTGTCGGCAATTGCATTTCATCAGCCGTGGCTCCATGGGACAGCCCGGAAGGCTCACAGATACTTCTCGGGCCCAGGCAGGTATGAATGCTTACGGATCCATTCAAACTGGCAGCCTTCCGCGTGTGCCTCGCGCCCCATGGACTCACTCAGCGCAAAATGTTCTCAAGTTGAATTCGCTATAAGGGTGAAACCTCGGTGGGACTTCGTTGCCTCATTCATGCATTCGGTTCTTGGTCTATGTAGCTTCCACAAACAAACTTCGTGGAGCCCTTTTCGCTCAAGGACTGCTGGCACGAAAGTTCAACCTGGAAACAGTTCCACCACCCAGAGGGCAGAAATCAAAAAGATACTGCTGGCTCTGGAGATCGCACGTGGAAAGCATCATCAGGCAAGTCGAGGATGCCATTCTCTGGGTGTGCTTGCCCCGACACGTGAAGGTACAACAGTCGACGGCTTGCCGAATTTTCCAGTTCAGAATTCCAGCGCCGTCGGCTTCTCAGACAGTCTACGAAGATCGAGCCTGTGCATTGGTCTCCACTCGCAAACCGTACTGGGCTGACACATGCCCTTGAAGTTATTTGCAGTGCTGCCATGCATCTCCAGCCTGCTCCTCCGTCGGGAAAAACTCTCCAAATTTCAACGTGTCCTGAGCAGACTCAGGGCTGCGACATGATAGTCGTGTCGGGCAGTGGGGATCAGCTTTGAAAATGGCTGCTGAGGGAAGTCACCGCTCGGGCCACACCGAGCTCGGTATTCTCATCTCGATGGTGTTTCGATCTCAACGCACAGGGGTTTCTAAGGCCCTTGATGGGTTTCTGCAGTTCAGGCGGCATCCGCGTGAGAAACTTCATCGCCCTTTTCGAACCTACTGCCCTTCAAAATCACTACCAAAAACTGATTGCTGGCCAGCGGCATACATCTCCTGAGGCACAACACGCCGATCACCGTTAACATCCAATCCTTTCTGGGCATAGCGCGCCTGATTCTCCTTAGAGTGCCAAAATCTGGATAGACAGCTGCACTGTGCAACATGTGAACACAGGCCTTCCTCTCAACACTTGCAAACTAAATTTCAGCGATTGAGTCTCCAGTCGCATAGTCCCATGGGTGGCATCAGTTCAGTAGGTACGTGCATTCAGTCTCGACGGCAATGGTCAGGGATAGTCACAACAACATGAAGGGGCTGTTCTTGAGAGAACAAACATGCAGCTTCCGACGTAAGTAACCGGAAGGGCCGTTCCAAACCAGGACGTGCCGACGTGCCTGCCTTCAAGAGAAGGCACCAGGCAGAACAAAAGGTTTTCGGCAACGCACCCCTGTTGCACGGCCCCCTCCTGAACTACTTGTAGCCTGCCGACGGATGCTACTCCTGCGGTGCATCTCGTCGTCGAGCTCGCTGTGCTAGCTGGCGAAGCGTGACAGAAAGCTTGACGTGCAGTAAAGGGGAAACCCGCTCGCTTTGCAGGCCCTCGCCCTCGGCTTCTGGCGCTTGTGCCGTCAGGCTTACCTCTTGCAGTGAGGCACATAAACGTGCCGCCTGGATGCTGTGAGGGGCGGCAGGAATGCCTTTGCGAACCTCACCTCGGCATACATGATGCATGTCTCGAAATCTTTCGGGAGGTGACAGCTTGTGCAGGAGCAGACCTAGACCTCAACTGCGCTGGACACTTACAGAGAACGGTCCAAGAGTCTACATCCATGTGAACCACAAGTCCTCCACACGCCGAAGTCCCAGGTCGAAACTGTCACATGGATCGTGATCCCAACATCTGCAAGTCCAGGTTGCCATTTCGCTTTCTGAGATCTCTCCATTCTGCGGGAGGCGGCAGGCTATCTCGCTTCTGCATGGTGTACCGTATCATGTCAGAGGTCATGCAGTTTTCGAAGGTGATCAGCTGTTTTAGAGCACTTTCCATATACCAACCTGTTGGCGTAGTGTTTCAGGCTTTTCTTCGCCAGCACACTTGTGCAACGTCAGACCCTTGCAAGCAGAGGGAGCTGTTCAAACTCGACACACCCCAACCCCTCGCTTTTCAGAACGTCCGCCTGATTTGTGTAACTACCTTCTTTGGTGTGACAGTTCCGCCAAGCCCTGGACTAAACTAAAACATGTCATCTCAAGTTCTGCAGCTCAGGAACCCGAAGTGCATCTGCTCGTTCTGGAGCCCTTCTTCTTTCTACCCCAGCAAATTCCCATGCCTGATCCGCATCCAGAGCTTTGAAGGCGGTCTCGGGAGTGACTGAGCCCATGCCCTGCGCGAACCTCGGGAGCTTTCTGTTTCGATTCGAGGTTCACGAAACGACAGCAGCTCTGCATCCCGTGTTTTGCCTGCAGCTTCCCCACTCAAACTTCCAAAACCGGTAGTGGGGGCTTCCGCAAACTTTCAGGTGTCTACCCTCATCTCCAAGGGCTCCCGGCTGGGTAATGGTGACCGGCGCCTGCGAAAGACCCAAGTCCTGACGTCCGCGCTTCTGGTTTTGGAAATGGGCCGAGAGTACCGCAGCACTGAGATTTGAAACCCGAGTTAAGCTGTCAAGCTCATAAAGCCGAAGGGTGCAGAAGCTCTTGCAGTTTCGGAGAGTCGGGTTTAACCATTGCTTTTACAGGCTCGATTCTGTAGAGTCACGTTAGATCACTGAAGCTGAGAATTCGTCAGCCTTCCAACGAAAAGGGCCCGGGTGAACGAAGGCTGATAAGCCGTGTAGAACCTCAATGTCGAAGAGCCCCTTCAGTACTCGTCCGAGCTTGCCCAGTCGTTGACATTAAAACCCTTCTCGTTTACTTCAGATCCCACCAGCCCACTCGCCTTCAGGACCTCCCTCTTTCGCCCGTTGTCCGGCTTTGGGTGAGACTGGGCCTGGCCAGTTGTGGGATCCACGTCAGGTAGAGGACTCTCAGCTGAACCGGTGCTGCATCTGATCTCTTGTTCGGGGGTTTGTGTGCTTTCTGGGGAACGTCAGCTGAATCTCCGTGTATTCGTATGTTGGACAAGCCACGACTCACCAAGGCCAAAGAGAAGGTGAATCCCTGAGTCACCAATCCCGTTGCACACACAAGGCTTATGCAATAGCAGAAGTCTACTGGGGCATGACGGTATCTGATGAGCCTCTGGTCGCGGCCCACGTGCTTGCACATAGTGCTTCTGGTTGAATGCCTCGACTAAGTGCAAGCAGAAGCTTTCAAGGTCAGAGAAAGCTTGCGTCTCATCCACCATGCGAGATGTCATGTGTGGCGTGGCGCAAGATGTCGTTCGTGTCTATGACGGCCTTTTATCTTGACATGCAGGCATTCCCCGGTGGGACCAGCAAATGCATGTCTGAGCTTGGTGCCTAGCCGGCTGTATGTGTAGGCTTTGTTAGGTCAATTCCGGAAGCCTTCAGCAGTCATCCTTACCCCTGTACTTTTTTGGGGGTCCTTATAATAAGGATCCTACTATTTAGGGTACTATATTAGGGTCCCCTATTTTCGGAAACCCCCCCTGTGCTTTCGAGCAGCATTGGCGAACTCCTGGCCGGTCACCATGCCATCCTCCATGAGGCTTAAGACAAGAGATACAAGAGCCACCTGTTAGAATGACTACAGTGCAGCCAGAACACCTATACACACTCCTTGCAGATCTGTAGGATGGAACTGATGGAACTGGCTCTGAGACTCTTGCTGCCCCACTCGTTTCTCACCTGAACGAATATCCCTCTACGGCACCCGAAAATCCAACGAGAAGTCGTGCCGCCGGAAAGGCAAACGGGGAGTGCGCAGCTCGCTACGTGAAACATCGGAAGCGTGAGCTAGAATTATGGACGTCCGCGGGCCTGTCTGTTTGCGTATCCACGTTTTGCAATGCATCAGCAAAGGTATTGCGCTGCACAAATTTCTGCACGTAGGTCGTAGGTCCTTGTTCAGATCCAAGCTTTGGAAGACGCCCTCCGCGGCTTCGCCCTTCACAGGTTGCGGCAGCTTCCCCAGGCCATCCATGAACCTCGGGACACTAAAGTCACTAAAGCGCTAAATTTGTCATTGCTACAAAAGTCTAAACAAAACTAAACCCCTAAATCCCCACTGCAGAGCAGAACGGCAGCAAGAGAAGTCTCTGAAGCACTGCGAAGACGAGCCGGTTTCAAGAAGAGAGACGAGGAAACCGACCTTCGAGTGATTGCAACACATGGGATTGTACGTATACACATATATATATATATAACATATGATATACATATCTACCTATATATGTATATACATTTTTATGTATATATATATATATAGATATAGATATAGATACAGATATAGATATAGATATAGAGGTTATACACATACATGGACATACATATGCATATGTCTATATACAAAGAATTACATACATGCATGCATGCATACATACATACCTACACCTGAGGCATTCTCGCCTCTCCGCGCTCCCAGAAGCTTTTGCCATCGGCGAGATGTACGCACCTTAGCCCTGGACTCGCCATGTGCCGCGATGCCGTCGCTGTCGCTATCGAAGCTGCGCAGCGCATGCTGCGGAGATCCCTTACCTCCATCAACAGCGGGTAATACCAAAGCTCAACGCCTACTGCACATGCAGGACCTAAGCCACCAAACAGTTCAGCGCCGGCATCGGTCGCAGGGCAAAGACGCAATTGAACACACGGCCTGCATCACCCATGTGGTTGATCAGCTGCTCCATTGACACCTCGTCCTGCCAATGCACTGCCCTTGACTGTCACTGCCAGGTCAGGCAAGTGTGGGGAGTCTTAAGATTCGTACAAAATGAAACCCTGAGTGCAAGATCTGGCAGAGAGCTTTTCTCGCAGAGCCACAGGAACTACTGCAACATGGCTCCTACCACAAGAGATCGTGGGACAGCAGTTACGGCGCAGCTACGCATGCTTAGCCTCATCATGATGCTCATGATCACTCGCATCACCACTACATTAAACTTTATCCATGGACATTATTATGCAGCATCATCCTCGTCAGAAGCCTTCTGCGTGTGCTGTCCGATTGGACATGGTGGAGACTAAACCTCCTACAGTCCAAAATGTCTCCCTTCCTTGCTTCGCCAATGTCGTCTGCTTCTGCTGTAACTTCTGGCTGTGCTGCTCTTTGCAGGCTTGTGGAAACGTGAGATTGATTGTTTAACCGTTAATTTAAGTTCAATCGGTTGTTGGCATTTCGGAACTGGCGCTCCTTTCGGGTTTCGGGTTTGTCACTGCCTTGGGTCTGAAAAACTCGCTGCTGTGGCTGTCCGTTTCCACGTGCACGATGTAGCTCAATGCTAGTTGAGCTTTCATGGGTTCCTGGTGTAGCCGAATCGAAACCTTCCCCTTTTACCGTTTTGGCAACTCGTGCTCAGGCACTCACCCGGCATGTGGGCAAATGTGGTGCGGTGCCAGGCCGAAGGCTATGTTTTCTTACCTACCGGGCGGCGTCAGGACCGTGTAGTAGCGTGTTACCACTGGCACAGGAACTAGGCTCCCTATGCAAGTTGGCTCCTGGGTCGGCCAAACAGAAGCTACGAAACGCAGGCACCGAGGAAAGGCTCCTTCCAAATAGCCTCGGGCGGCGTCTTCTCGATCCTGGCTTCAGGGCCTGGGCACCACAGTGCACCCCTTCCTCGTCCATGTCGATACCGGGCCACAAGGAACAGGCAAGTCAGGGCTGTCATGAATCTGCAGCCGGAAGCACAAGGCTTCCGTGAGTTCACACTAAGAACCAGGCGAGTCGGTCTGGGTTCCGGGTGGTGCTTGGCAGCTTCCCGCTCGGCCCTTTTTCTTTCCCTCTCTGCCTGCGAAACGTGGCCAGATCTTGAAGGTTGGTGTTCGAGATGCCTGAAAATGTCCGTGAACTCCTGTGCTCCACCGGATGGGAAACACTGACGGTTTCAAGAGTTCGAGCGCAATCGGGATGATGTAGAGGATCGTTGCTTCTAAACCCTTTCCGGGTCAACAGTCGTTCATGTAACTGCTTGTCTTTAGAGCGCCACATTTGCATACGAACCGTGAACAAACTCAACACCCAAACGACACCCGATGCAGTGAATTCCCGCGGGCCTGCTCCCGTGCCGCCTGCTCCCGGGCTCGCGCTTCCTTTCCAGCAGGTTCTAGCCCACACAATGAGGCAGCAATCAAAGCATGCCCTTCTGGCCTCCTCTGCAGCAGCCCTCTGCCTCTCCTCGGCAGACGAAGGCTCGTCTGCTGCCGGCATCGTGGTGGTCGTCGTGATTTCCCTGCAGCACAAAATCTTTTGAAGTTCAGTTATTCTAGTCAAAGAACTCAAGTCAAATGCCACAATTTCGCATCACGGTGCAAGGAGTTGGTGGGCAGCTCGACGGTGACAGTGAGTCACAAACCATGGTCTGGTTGAGCCAGGAGACCAGTAGTAGAAGTCAGGCTCTGAAAGGCCTTTGTCCCATTCCTTGGAAGTCGATCAGCTCACAACTAGGTTTATAGCCGAAAAGCTTTTTGACCGCTTCTGACATGAGGTTCTACAGATTCTTCTTGCCTTGGACAGCTTTCGGCCCTACCTTTGTCAATGCGCCGGGGCACATGGCAAGTTGGAACGGAAGCCGGATTCATCATGCTAACGACTGCGAGGCTGGATACAGTTGCCGACTCTGAACATCGTCATCATCATCACCACCCACCACCGCCCCCACTGCCACCGCCACCACCACAAGCACCACCTCAGCATCGTCATCATCATCGTCATCATCATCATCGTCATCACCATCATCACCGCCATCACCATCACCATCACCAGCATCATCATCATCACCACCATCATCTTCATCATCATTTTGCTTTGGTGTCGGGCTGAGAATCATATTGTCGGTTGTTGCAACGGTTTGCTGGTACAGCCTCAGCTGTGTCATTCTTCCTGAACGTCTCTTCTTTGCCTGAAGCCTTGCCTGATGTGGAGTCAGCCGAGAAGTTCGTCTAGCCTAGCATGTCGAAACGAATAGCGACCACATCCGGAACAGGGAAAGCCAAAGCCTCAGAAGAACGCAAGAAGTAAGTGCCCAAAGACTGCCAGTCTTCTCAAACAGCAGCCCTCAAATCACCACGTTGCTAAGTTCTACACGGCAAGCCATAGAACTGTCTCTATGTTAGTATGTGTGTGTGTGTGTGTGCACGCGTATTTGTATGTGTATGCACGTATGCAAGTATATGTATATGTGCATAACTGTGTACATGTGTTTTCACACAAACGAAACAGATGTGACAAAACTATATTCTATACGACAGGTTAATACAATACAATATGAGATACTATAACACACATATATGTATGTATATGTATATATATATATATGTAGTATAGCATAAAATAACAGAATACACATGCAATATAACACATTGCAACAAACTATACCACCCTGTATCACGCTGTGGCATTGTGTAACAGAATGTAAGATTATGTTAGGTCGCAACAAGCTACTACTCATAATAACTTACATGATGAAGGACATGTCGCAAACTGAAGTACGACAGGGCAGAATATGATGAAGTGTGATGTAGTATCAGGTAGTATAATGCGAGATAAAGTGAATTAGAAGGAGACAACATCATAAAACATAACACAGCATGACATAATATTACATAGCGCTATACAGTTGTATTTCGTAGTTGAAAATGGCTAGTTGTCTAGGATAGCTGTTTACACATATGTATGTATGTATGTATGTCTGCCTGTAAGCAAGTACGATGTATTTGCTAACATGTTCGTACTACATGGCGAGACAGTGAATGTGATCGACAGATTCCGCACACCCCTCTTGGTGTGTGTTTGTTGTCCACATGCACGTGTCTGTGAGTGCTTATGTAAATGAATACGTGAACCAAAATAAATGTACACATGTATGTACATGTGCACACACACAAAATCACAAAGCACTACGTGTAGGTATGTATGTACGAACACACACATGGAATCACACGCTGATGCATGCGAACCCCTACATGCGTACCACTTGGGTAGCTCTGTCTGCCCCTGGGCCCCTTAGAAGAACTCGATACCAAACTACCATCTGGGGCAGCTGGCTTCTGCGGTCAGCTTGTCGTCGAAATTCTCATCCAAACCCTTGAATGTAAAGAGGACCTGCCACAGCACAGCCCGTTTTCCTATAGGAAAAGAACTCATGTAATAAATTGAAAGCCCGCGAATTAGTCTGAGGTTGCGAGGCTATTAAACAGCTCCTAGATGACCCAAGGCAAGGAGCACAAAAGTGAGAGCACGGGCTGTGCTGCAACGCAGGGTGTATGTGCAGGCCTGCCATGCACCAATCTGTGCTTAGATTGGTAGATACCTGATGATGCGACCTACTTTGTGGAAAACCCTGACAGCCTGTTCCTCCTTGACGATGGGCTTCTTCAGGTCATTCAGGAACTTTCGAAACTCAGTCAAGTCCTCAGACCGGCGGTTGGTGCTAAGAGTTGGGACCAACCCAACGCTGGGACTTGTTGTGGCCTCAGGTGAGCACCTTGAAACAAAGAACTGTGTCGTGCCAACCCCTGAACCGAGGGCATCCTCAGGCGATGACTACGTGTCCATCCTCCGACGTATCCATGACGGTGTAGGCACTGTTGGCGTCCTGAAACTGTCAGCGAGTCAACGCCTCTGCTTGCTCTCCTCACCATGACACCGCTATGGGCGGTGATGCGATGGGAGCGAGTTTCGGGAGCTTCCTCGAAGCAGGCCACACATGCTGCGACTCGTGTGGTTGCAGCTTATCTGTAAGGACGGACTTCAAAAAATACTGCTTCTTATTTCGGTTAACGTGTCCCATGTTGTCTGACTCCAAGGAGTGCCTCATGCAACCTGCTTCGGATCACGGATCACGAGTCACATGCCCACAAGCCCTCAGCACCGCCCCAAGGAATCAACCTCGCCTTCCATTGGACAACTTGTTTTAAGTCCCTGCACATAACGCATGCGCATGAAATCGACGCTAGGACGACACTGGGGCCCGGACATCAAACTGGTTGTCTGCAAACACGTGGAAGGCCTCATGCAAAAACGTGGTCGCCGTAGTGGTGTAGTGGTGATTGGTGGTAGTGGTGGTGGTCGCAGTAACCGAGTTCTTCCGAACTACACCAGCGAGAAGCGGCCATGAAGCTGCAGCGCATGCAAGTCATAGGCTCCATCACCGGGCTCCACAAAACATGAATCCTTATCTTGTAGACCTGAACTATGGAAGCTCTACCATGCTCCTTGACCATGCGCAGCTTCAACGATCGGATGCTGACGTTTGTAGGTAGGCTTAACAGCCTCGACAAACATGCATCGATAGAGTTGAAGCCGCGGTCGCAACTTCCGGGCCTTAAAGTCGTCCATGCTAACCTTGCCGACGTGGCGCTCCCAGGTCCTTCCAAAGTGAAACGGACGGCTCCAAGGACTTTTGTCATATTTGGGCTCCGAAGTCTCAGTCAAGTATCTTTCGGTTTCATATTTCAGAGAGCATTGTCGGGTTCAGGGTTTCGGGTCACTGTACTCAGAAAAGAACTTCATGCCCATCGGTACCACAGACTCCCATCTTCCAGTACGTGCGAATCCGAGTCGCCAGGACTCTTCTTGACGGCGTGGGTTGTGCGGAGGGGTTGAGAACTAAACCTCTAACCCAACTCCGTATGCGAAAAGGTTGGTCAGCAAGATCTGTGGAAGCTCGAAATGCAACTTCTAAATCGAAAGCAAAATGCAGGAGTGATCCCGGATACCGGGCTTGGCTGAGGCTGCTGCTTGACCCAGCCCATGGTGACCTCGAGCAGGCTGGCTACCGTACCATACTGCAACACCGCAGCCTTTCCTGTGTGCCACGATAGTTTTCATGCATCCTATGGGGAAGTATCAGCTGCTGGATTGCCATCAGCACCGCCCATGATAGGTTCCGAGGTTGCAGTTTCAGCGCGCATGCTCTCAGACTGTGTTGTACAGCCCTCATTACCTACGAATGCAAAGTCCGTGGTGTTCAAACTTTTTTAAAACTCAAACGCAGCCTGGTTGCGATATCGAAAAAGGGCAAGGCCACCATGCAAACAAGCAGGGCGCAGCCGAATGTGGCCACCAGGCCCAAAGTCACCTGGCAGTCATTCCATTTCTATCGAAAGTGCCCATAGTGCCAAGTTCCTTGCAATTTCACGGCTTGCTGACCGTAGATTGCATGACAAAAGATTGCCTGGGTCGAAGCAAGCTTCATTCGCACATGTAGCAGCAAGTCAGAGCTGTAGAAGCATTGTAAGGCCTGACCCAGTATACTGTCCCCGGCTTGTGATTCGACATGTCACGTGCAGCTTATCTCATGAAACTTCATGACCTCCACGTGTGTGCTCATGTGCCTTGCATCGGATCTTTATTCCCCATTGTCTGGCGAACTGTCGAATTTGTGCATGCCTTGCTTCTTGCATGATCTGAAATTAACGGAGATGTCCATGTGAAATCTGATGGGTGAGCGGAGGCTCAGAAGTCTCCTCTCACTTCGGGCGGATATCGAGGCTCACACCAAAAAGTGACGCAGTTCGTAGGGCAACCTTTGTCCAAAGGGTTCGCCTCAGGCGAGTAGACGAAGCGTCCGTTGTCCAAAAGGTCGTTGTACTCGTCCGAATCTGACAAGCTCTCCACTTGAACGTTGCTGCCCTTGGAAGTGTTGTGTGCCACATAGTGAATGTTCTGCTTCCACTCGTGGGCTGTCTCGTTCCTCGAAATGAGCCCCACGTGGATCTTGAAGATTTGCCCTTCTAGATACAGCAAAATCAACGAATAAGTCCAATGCAGAACAAGGATGACATCCCTGACAATCTGGAACCCGGCCCGCTCGTATGCAAAGGCCGCCAGGCAAGGATCAATGACGACCCCCAGCACTGCAATCAGTGTCAAGCCAATCAGCATCGCCATGAACTCTCGGTGATTCATCAAGCCAACAACGTTCTGAAGCCACCTGCAATAATGGTCGTAGCGTCGAATGGGCTCCGGGTACAGCCAAGACTTGTGGGTACGCTTGGGCAGCTCGGCCCCCTCGTCTTTCATGCTCTCAGGATTGATTTGGCCAGGGTCCGTCCTGGCCACCCACAGCATGCACAGCAAGGTCGGACCGAAGATGATCGCCTCGATCGTGAGGAAGATAGTGCAATTCCACCCGGTCAGCTCGGTCAACATGGGGATATGCACCATGGACACGGCCACAGCACCGAGAAGCGTCGAGAGACTGAGTGCCGCCGGCAAAACAGGCTTCCAACACTCAGAACTGGCATCAGGACCCTTGCTGTCTTCCCCGAACTTGCTCTCGTCGCAGGCTTCTTCTGGGTCATGACATGCTTCTTTGTCTGCTGACCTCTTGCCACCTGGGCCGGGCACAAGGGGCACTTTGGGCATCATCTGCTGTGCCGCTGGCACCTGGATTGCGAAGGAGCTTTGCACAGGCTTGTAGTGCTGCACCACATAGGGACCGTACGCATCACCACGAACGCGGCCCTGAAGCAGCATGGCGTTGGACGCGATGGACACAAAGTAATCCTAGAAGCGTGATGAACCGAACACCTCGAGACATGTTGTGCACAGGGCATAAACAGTGGTGGCAGTGGCAGTAGTAGTAGTAGTAGTAGTAGTAGTAGTAGTAGCAGTAGCAGTAGCAGTAGCAGTAGCAGTTGCAGTAGTAGTAGTACTAGTGGTAGTAGTAGTAGCAGC